GGATTCATGTTTGAGGGATTTGGTAAATTTTTATTTCAAATTGGATATTTTAGACATTTCAATTGAAGGGTATTTAAGACTTTTAATGTATGATTTTATAGACCAAAGGCTATTGGAACAAAAACTATTGAGATGGACTATTTTACCAATAAGTATTGTTGACTAGGCTTTTTAAGCAAAAACCCCAAGGACTTAATACGAGGGTTCGAGGGGCGGGGTCAAAGATCAAAATTTTGCAACATGTTTGGCTAAATCTAGGGAGAAATGTTATTCATCTTTGGTGGGGAAGCATTCTCAATTTATGTGGCGTTTATGTGGCATTAAATGATAGGTGAAATTAAATAAGTCATTTAAATAAGTCATTTAATTTCATCTATCATTTAACCAATCATTTACATCCACATATGTTGATAGCATTTTTCAAATCTAGGATACAATTTAAAATGATTAATATATATTTAGTCAAAGTTTAATTTAATCATAAATTTAAAATTACAATTTATTATCGTCAACACATTTTTTTTAAGAACTAATAGTATTCTTTTTATTATTTCTCTTTATAAATCATTCATAAATTTGTCAAACTAAGATTAAGCTTAGAAAATAAACCATAAAGTACTCTTTTTTATAATTTCAATACTTAATTTTGTAATTTCAAATAAATGGATTTAATTAATTTTATTTTATCGCTCAAATAAACTTGCTTATTTTTAATTAATATTAAAATTATTGATCATTTGTTTCTCAATTTATGCTCATATTTGGTACAATTTCTTTAAAATCCATTTTTTAACATTTATTTTTAATCACATTTTCCAAAATATTATTTCTCATAAATTTATTTTAGAAAAAATCTACATCAAACAACACATTAATCTTATTAAAAATAATTAATTAAATAAGCAATATATGGGAATTTTTTTAGGAAAATGCTAAAGGTACATCAAAGTGTACATCAGGGTGTCCATAATAAGTTTGACATTTAATGAGGTGATAACAATCATGACCTTTAATTTTAAACACATTACATCAACTCACACTCAAATTTCATTTACATAAAAGGACGTCATCCTTAATATTAACAGAAAAATGTGTATAGGGGGACAGGGATGATGTTGATCAACCCAATCCCCACACTTTTCTCATCCTTTTAAGTAAACTTCATGGCTGTTGCTTGTACAGTCCTTAATGGACTGTACATTTTACAGTCCACACTGATTAGTGTGGGCCCTACTGATTTAGTAAATCAGTGTGGGCTGTAAAATGTACCGTCCATTAAGGACTGTAAAAGTGGAAAAATTCAACTTCATAAACTTGGCCATGCATTATATGTTCAAAGTTATTCTTGTTTTGTGATTTCAAAGTCAGGTGGAGTGCCAATGAGATAAGCTCATGACAAATTGAAAACTAGCTGTCTAGATATAATAAGTGAAGAAAAACAAGAGTATTTATATTTGAATATATAACTGTGATGAGTATTTATTTATTTGAATATATAACNACTGTGATGAGTATTTATTTATTTGAATATATAACTGTGATTTCTTTATATTACATAATACTATGACGGTTCAATTAGTAAGAGAACCATCTAAGTAAATGGGAATCTTGGGTTCAAATCTCAACAATAGCAATCATTTTTTAAATTATTTTAGTTTAATATTTTTCACCATTTTGGAGCATATGGGCATTATAAAAATTTGTAGGGCTGGACATGGTTCGACAACTCAAACTTTCGGGTATTTTAGTAAATGGAATTGTTTATGAAACTGTTCGGGTTCGATTCCATTCGATTCAATTAGGTTCTATTCGGTTCTCAAGTTTCGTACAATAATTAATTTTTTTATATATATTCACAAAAGCGTTATATTAATTCGATATGACATATTCGATTTTAACTCTTACAAAATAATGTAGTCCAATCTCATGTTATTTTTTACGTCTCTCTTTGTTGAATTCTTCATAGATTTGACTGTTAAAATCACAGAAAGAGGAAGATGACGAGTTCACAATAATAGAACGGCAGAAATGATACTACGACAGAATAAGAGGTTTAGATAAAACTTAGGTCAATTTTATTAAGTCGGACTTTGCTGAAAATTAGAAATAGTAAAATCATATTTTGAGTTTGGACTAAATTAATTAGTTAGTAAATTTATTTTAAAAAAATAAAATAATTTGACTTATTTAAGATAAAAATAAAAAAAAATTAGGGAGATTCGGTTCTTCGGTTCGGTTCTTGATCTAGAATCGAGAACCGAACCGAACATGTCGGTTCTCGATTCAAATACATGCTCGGTATTTAATTTAAGAAAAATCGCTCAATTTGGTTCAGTTCGGTTTGGTTCGGATCCGATTCGAGAGTTTTGTCAGTCCTAAAATCGGTGCAATTGGAAGATTCGTACTTGTGATCACTATTGGAATTATGAAATACTTGACCACTGTGACATTTGGTGGATATTGACATTTAATGCAACAAAATTCTATATGATCTTTTATCAAGTAATAGATATATTTCCTCTTTGATTTTAAAATTTTTTAACTAAAACTCGACCTTACAATGATATTATTAAATAGTCATTTTTTCTGTTAGACTGTAATTATTAGCAAATCGAACCAAGAAAATAAATAATTGAACCCCCTTTGTCAAATTCAAATTGTTACTCTATAAACATTATTAGACTGGTAGATAACGTACATCCACACTTACAATTCGAACTACGATATAAGTAATTTCAATTCACGACATTGGTTATTATTGCGGCCGTCAACGACCGTCCATGCTTACTCAAAATCTTGGATCCGCCACATTGAATATGACGTCTTTGGATTCATCGGTCCACAATTGGTCTGGCATGAGGTGTACCTTATCTAAAATAGAATAGATTTTTTCAGTATTCTAAAAAGTGTAAAGTGCAGAGAAGTGTGGAGATCAAGTTTCAAATTTTACGAGTTTAAGCAACGCCTAGACATTAAAAAAAAAAAACGTTTTCTTATTTTTGATATTGTTTTAATTTTTTTTAAGCATTCTAAAAATTATTTAATAATTAAAATAATACATACCAAACATCTAAAACTATAAAAATACTATATTTACTTATTAATTTCTACAATTAGTAAATTATACAGTTTTCGTGTTTTCAAAATACAAAAATTGGACTATTTTTCGTAAAATTTTGTCTTTCAACTGACAAGTCTTATTTAGTAGATTTATAGGAACTTCATACATACTTTCGAAATTTTCAACAAAGCAATAAGTCTCAAAATCATAATTACATAAAATAGATAGCACCTTTTTAAATCTTATCTAAATCTTTATTGGATAAAATCATTTTTTACTTTTGTACAGATAAAATCATTTAAAAAATTGAAATTAAATCAAATAAAAGGCTTTGAAAAAGGGAAAAAATAAAAATTAATAAATAAACTAATAACTTAAAGTCAAATAAAACTCTTTTAAAAATAAAAAAAATTAAAAATTAATAAATCGCGCCTAGGCACGCATTAAGCAGTCAACTATCAAGTTGACCACTAAATTCGCACTCATTGCCAAGACAAAGGGTATAGCCCCCTAGACGCTCTTTTTAGAAAACTTAGTTTTTTACATTGTATTTAATATTTTTCATAAAATTTTGTATAATTCTAGTTATTTTTTAAAATAAAAATATGGGAGATAGAATGCCAACTTGGTTTTATCCTACACTAGCTGGACTCATAGGCATAGCAAGTCTGACCTCTACGCTCAATTTGTTGACCAATGAATCGAGCGCAACTCATCCAACGAGTTGAACCAAGCATATGTATTACACATAATTCTATTAGTTGAAATCTAACGATAATTAGATATGTCATGAGCTTATCTCATACCAAAATCAAAACAACGAGTTGAAAACTAGCATCTAGATCTAGTAGTTCCTCGTCTTCACATAATTCTATTTTTGTTTCTAGATGAAAGCTTGTAACAACCACCTCTAGATCTACTTTCTCGTCATCACATAATTCTATTTATGTTTCCAGGAAGAAACCTTGGAGCAACAACCATTTTGCAACTATGATCAATGCTTGTGGAGACTAACAGTATTACCAATATCAATACTATTATTAATCACTGACACAACCAAGGTAATATCCATTCTTTCATATTATGCTCACAATTATAAGATTGATGAATCTTGTTTTATTGGTTTATCATGTGATTACTATATGTTGAACTATGAACTCATCAATCACAAGGATTCACAATATACAAAAATATTTCCTTAGCACATATATGTATTACATCGTACAACTGTAAATGGAATACAACTAGACACGACTGAAAAACAAGCACATTTGAGTTTTAGGCATTGCTGAGATTACCTAGTAGACAATATCACATATGCTAAAATTTTACAAATTTGTGAAATGCTTCTCTGAGTCGGATTTTGCCGATGGCTATCTTTACGTACAACCAATCCATTAAGCTATTCCACAACTTGAAAAATGCAATCCTCCACGAGTTATTGAACACTAAAGTGCCACATACTCCCCAAAATCCAAAAATGAAACCAACTGCCATACTAATGTAAAATCCATCATCGATAAGCTTGTCCTCATCTTCCGAGTTTTTCATCCCATCAGCATTATCACCGATCGTTGGGACTTGAGCAATTTCATCTCCTGGACAAGCTTTTGTAAGTGGAAGGCCACAAAGTCCAGGGTTTCCCTCGAATGCAGAAGCATTGAAAGTTAGTAAATGAATGTTTTTTGGAATTTTGCCCGACAAGTTATTGTACGACACATCTAACACTCCAAGTTGATCCAATTGAGAAATGCCATTAGGAATACCACCAGAGAAGTGGTTTCTTGAAAAATCAAGAAAATCCAAAGACCTTAGTCGTTCAATATTTGAAGGAAGGAATCCAGATAGGTTGTTTCTTGAAAGGTTCAATCCAACTAGCATTACAAGACTGGTAATTTCAGCAGGAACGTCACTTACTAAATTGTTGTTTGAAAGATCAACGAGTTTCACCAAATTAAGAGTATTTATGTACTCGGCCTCCTTTCCTTTCCATGTTACAAATGCACTCTCGAAGCCTCCATAGTATTGAAGACGAAATGCCCCATCAAACTCAGAATCCACTTGAATCATAGCAGTGAAATTGTTTAGGCATTTTGGTATACCACCAGAAATCTTGTTTGAAGAAAAGTCCAACACTTGTAAGTGTGCAAGATGACACATGGTTGAAGGAATATTACCAAAGAACTCATTGGACCTGAGACTCAGAAAGACCAATTCACTCCAAGCATCTCCCACCCATATAGGTATTTTACCAGTCAACTTATTTCGTGAAAGATCAATGAAAGTCAAGAAAGTACAATTCCTCAACGAGTTGGAATCTCTCCAGTGAAACTGTTGTTTTGTAAGTGCAATGATAAACTGATATTTAGTGAAGGGATCTTTTCAGAGAAATTATTATGCGCCAGATTAAGATATTTCAAATTTGCTAGGTATGCAAAACAATCTGGAAGCTGTCCAGACAATAAGTTATTCGAGAGGTCAAGAAAATCCCAATAGCAACTAGTTTCATTGCATAAATTGGAAATTGACCCAGAAAACTCATTACTCGACAAATCCACCACAGATCCATTCGGAGGTAAAATTGGTAATGAACCATTAAAATGATTAAAGCTCAGATCTATGGAATCAAAATGAGAGAAATTTGACGACAAATCAGGAAGGACACCATGAAAATTGTTATGTGATACATTTAAAGTCCGTAGTTTTGGACTTGGCTTCCAAAACCAATCGGGGAAGGTGTCTGAAATTTCAGCATTAGAGATATCAAGATACTCTAATCTCTTTTGTGTTCTAAGCCATGTGGGGAAATGTGGACCCACTTTGCAACCCGATAAAAATACATCTGTCAGTTGAAAAGGAGGATTCCATCCTGAACTGATATTGAACGAGATACCTTGGTTGTAAGACAAGTCCAACCATTGTAAATGGGAGAGATTAAAGAAATGTGATTCAGTGATTGTGTCTTCAAAGTTGTTTGATCTAATATCCACATCTTCGAGTTTGGAAAGGCTTCCTATGCATTGGGTCACGGTACCAGTAAACATATTGTGAGAAAGATCTAAGGAACTCAACGAGGAAGGTAATGCAAGATGAGGCACTTCCCCCGTGAATTGGTTACCGAATAAATCTAAAAAAGTTAAACTAGTCATATTCCCCAGTAGATGAGGCAGTTGTCCAGTGAATTGGTTATAGGACAAATCTAAATTAGTTAAACTAGTCATATTCCTCAAGGATATTGGAATCTCACCTTGTAATTTGTTGAATCCGAGGTCAAGTGAACTAAGGCTGCTGCTTAAGTTAAACACCAAAGGAAATATCCAAGAAGAAGAGAACTCATTTCCCGAGAGTGTAATGTCAGAAAGAGAATTAGAAGCATTGAAAGGTGAGGGAGGAAGTACCATTGACAGGTTACA